TTTTGATGCAATTTTGCCTTGTAATTATAATAAACTCCGAACGTTTTCACAAAAAATTGTTCACAAATAATTAAATATCCATGCTATTAATTAAACATTGATGCCACACTACAAATTATTTTCTACAAGCAAAATTTTCTGAATAATTGCAAATTCCTCAATAATTCTAATTATATGCTGCATCCAATACAATAGTTTGTAAATGGATTAGGAACTTATGGGCTGTAGAATGTTGGCCCACACTTGCACATCCATCCCTCTGGCTCATAATTTGTGTACTGGACTCCTACATGGGCCGTGGTGGTGGGCACCTGAATAGGCTCACAAGGACTGCACCCGTAACACTTGCGCTCACAGCTTGGTGGGCCTGACCCAATTTTATTAATTTCCTTGCTGGCCCTCTTTTCTTCCAGTAGCTGTAGTAGTTCTATTCTTTTCTGAAGTCCCTTATATTTGAAATTTTACAAAATATATATATATAAAAAAAAATATATGTCTGGACAAAATATATAATAATATGTACGTAGTGAATTATCATTCTGCGTCAAAATCCACATAATTATATTATATAAAAAAATAAATGAATTTGATCTCAAATGCAATAATTAAAAAAAAAAAAAAAATGTACCTGGCTTGAGCTCTGAGTTATTTGCATTACCCTTGAAATTTGATTTTTGACCGTTTCTGAAAAAAAAAAAAATAGTTTTTAATAAATTAATAAAATTATTATTTGAAAAGGAAAAATAAAAAAAAAAATAAAAAAATAGGAATAAAATTAAAAAGCATGGACTAAAAAGGAAATTACCAGCTGGGTGGAAATGTGTGGTTGATGTAACAATCAAACCAAGAATGTGCAGAAATAAGACAATTATAAAGCAACACAACATTGTTCTCATTTTTTAATAAACAAAACAAACACAAGTTCACTGTGTGTTTTAGTATGTTAATTTGTACGTGTGCAAGAGAGATATATATAGGAAAAGAGACAAAATTAGATCCTCTGATTTCACACAATAAAATAAAATAAAATAGTTCATTTCTATATGTGGTAGAAATTAAAGTAAAATCCAAAGACTGTAAGGCTGCAACAAAATTAATTTTTGTCTTTGACTACCTTCACTATTTCAATCAATAGTTCATTACAAGTTACAACCTACTTGTGGTGTGTTGGTCTGATCTCCCTGTTTCTCCGATTCTTTGGTATGCTGGTCGGGGAAGACCGACACCTCCGGGCCTAGTCCAGTGGTGATGGCAGGGTTTGGGGTTGTGATGTGTAGGGTGAGTTCTGGTTGTGGGTCGGCTACTTTCTCGTGGTGGTGTGAGGCTCGGGATTCGGCTTCAGCTAGGCCTATTGGCAGTTTCGGGAGTGGGGGTCCTGAACCGCGGATCTAGCTGTGAGATGGTTGGTCTTTTTTTACTGGTGCCTTGTGCAGGGCTCGGTTTATTCTGCTGGGGAAGGGCTTTATTTGTTTTTGTGTTTTGGTTTTTTCGTTTGTTTTTTTGTTGTGTTTAGTGTCTTGTGTGTCTGCTTCTTGTTTCGTGTTTAGTTTGTTGTTTGTAGTGTTTATTCTTTATTTGGGAGCTTAATTCTCCTGTTGTGAGCTTAATTCTCCTGTTGGGAGCTTGTGAATACATTGTGCGTGTTTCGATTAGGCTGCCTTTCGGGTTGTCCTCCATAGGATTACATATTTTTGTGTTTGTATTGATTCTACCGTAAAAATTCAGTAACTGCAGTGCAGTAACTTATAGGGTCGAATCAACCCTATTAATCGCCCGTACTATTTAAAAGCTTTTAGTCTATCTAAAAAAAATATTTAATTCACTACAATAAATAATAACAATAATTCATCTTCGTAAATCATCAACTCTCATAATTTTAATTACTCATCACTTCCGATCGTTTCTCCATACTTTTACCCCAAATCAACTTTAAAACCAACTTTTTGAAACATAGTTCAACCAACTTTTTTTTTTTTTTTTTATAATAAATCCTACTTAATTAAAAAAATTCAATCAAAACAAAAATATTCAATCTAAAATTTATGCCCAAGCACAGCCTAGTTGGTGGTGGATTAAAACAAAAAATATGAATATATGAAAATGGTGTTATCAAGATTAGTAGTAAAGCACCATAAAATCAGACCTGAAATGTCTCACTCAATAGACTGTGTTTTCTGCAAGTCATCTGAAGTGATTTGATCACTCGCTGGAAAATCTGTGAATGTACTACATTTGACTCGGCCTCAGATCAAGCCTTTGATTTGTTCTCATTTTTTTTTAAAAAAAAAATTGTTGCTAGTGAATGTTATATATCGACGTTCGAGTCATAATCACAGTCGTTATACATCAACGCTCCAAACACAGTCAAAGAGTCAAACTTTGGTCAAGTTGGCGGTGAAATTATTGTAATTATGTGAACTTTCGATTTTTTACGCAGGGATATTTTAGTCATTACGCAGAATATACTGTTACTATAATGTGCATGCATTTTACAGTTTTTACTTATCATTATTATGAATTTATCCTATAAAACCATTACCTAAGAAGAACTATCTCATACATTTTGCTTGAGTACAAAATAGAAGGAACAATTTTGCCAATTTATTAATCCTTACCTATAGACAATAATCCCATGTTATCATCCTATGTAAACAAGAGTCCAACCAAGTGAGATCTCCATCGATCTTCATCACCAATTAATGTATCCATAAACTGCAAGGGGAACTTCCAAAAACAAATACGAGAAGAATGTGGAGAATACGAAAAGATAAAATTTCATATAACTAAGCCACCTCAGGGGTAGTTTTCGTGGTTGGCCCTAATAAAAAACGAGTCCTACTTCTCTATGCATATGAGACTCAAACGACAAAACACAAACGTAGTGAAGCTTTTGAAATAATTATTGTTTCGAAAAACTTGAACGAGCCTTACAACGACCTCCTAGTTCCACAACAGACTTACAAAAACGAACAGCAAAGGAGTTTTTGATCTAGTGTTCTCTTACCCAATGATTTGTCGAAGTTACACAGACGTTTAGCAAGAATATAATGCATCACCACACTGGAATAGCAACCAGAGTTGTCTAATTTATTTGTTACTAAACTACAAGAAAATTGAAATTTCGACATACATTCACTCACATATTTCGACATACATTAAACGAAACTCTATCTTACCGGCAAGGTTTTTGTTATTCAGACGACCAACCAAAAGATGAAAAAAGCTATTTCTTGGGGTGAACAGCTTCAAGCACAGCTTCAATCTCTTCCTTCACACGCTCAAAAACGCTCGGCCCTTTGACCTCATCGATTGGTGTGCTCTCATCGATGTCGTCACTCGTCCCGTGCGTTTCTTTATGATGATGTGGCGACTTACCACCGTGAATCACTGATTCTATCCCCTCTCTTGCTTGCTCGATCACGTTCGGTGTTTTTTCTTGTTTGTCTAAAGCATTTGGAAGAATATATCGTGAGACAATTTAGTACCCCCTTCGAAAGCTGATTCCACGAGAAGCAATATCACGAACAACACAGAAAATAAAAATGCAAAAAAGATACCCATTTGATCGACCAAATACTATCATTTGAACCAAAGCATACCCCCGATTTGAGTGTCATAAAGTGACAGATAACACAAGAATTAGCCAGGAATTCCTTGAACTTTCGTATAATTCACACAACATTTCAAATGATCAACAGTATTCAATTTCTTTTCTGCCCTCCTCTCTCAAAAATTCGAACTTTGATTATCATTCTCGGTTAGTAAGTGTTGGAATATCACTTGTGAGTTGTTCCACATTCATTCTATAAGGAAAATGAGCCTAGTATATAAACCTAAGCCTAGTGGGAAACTCCTACCATACCATCGATTTTGGGATGGAACCCCCTCTTACGGTGCGCTTCATCTGGTGGGACCGCACTCTCTTCTCCCGATTATATAAATCTAACAGTAACAACAAATCATGTGATTCTGTGGTTTAGAAACACAAGGGACCGCATTCTCTTTCCCCGATTATATAAATCTAACAGTAAGAACAAATCATGTGATCCTGTGGTTCAGAAACAGAAAATTCAAAGCCAACACGCGTAAATTTGAATCAGAAACACAAGAACAAGGTAAAAATTCCACGCCCCATGAATATATAACTAAAAATGCACAAAATTAAGGCATATTTTTAAAAATGCTAAATGCATAAATTAACGAAAAAATGTGAAAATGGATTAAGCACCAGAATGAGAACGTGGGCTGTCGACCCCCTTTCGTTCAGCCATAAGAAACCGCCGGTCGTCTTCTTCGTCTCAACTTTAACCTCTCTTTTTCAGGTTCCGTTGATTGGCAGTGGAGCTTTTTGGTGTTGAAGTAAATAGGTAATGGGCCAGTTGCAGTAATTTAAAAGTACAGTGGGCTTGCAACAAAGAGGCCCACTCTGTTAGTAAAGTCCAGTTCCAAATTGTGGATCCGGACGGTCTGAGCCCAATGTATTTTCTCCACAGATAAAGATGGCAAAATTATGTTTACATACAAATAGATATAGTTTTTATTTATTTACAAATATAGCACTTATGAATGGTTAATACGTGGTTTATTTTCAAATATTCGTTTTTAAATTGCATTATTTATGTGTGATTTTATTTTTAAGGTCGTATTTTTATAATATTTTTTTTAAAAAAAAAAAATAGCAAATGTGTGAAAAAAGCTAATAAAAGACTACAGTCAGTTTTAAATTTAAATAAATCTCACTACTTAACTCATTTTATTTTATTGGGATCACCAAAATATTACTCAGAGCAAAGAGTATTATTATATCTAATAAATAAAATTAACGTTTCAAACGTTTTTTTTGGTATCCCAATGGGCCAAATGGATTTAAGCTTGATAAAAAAAATCCCATAAAATATTTATATATAAATATCATCTACTATGTTGACATATAGGTTTTTTTTTTTTTT